CAAAGGAATAATTAGCTATCTCCCCATGCCAAAACAACGCTGAAGGGGTCTTTTACGTTTCAATGCAATCCCTTTTTACATTTTCGTGTAGTTTTCTATGGGTTCATCCCTTCCCTCCACCACTGCCATCAGCTCCGCCGCCTCCGAGGAGGGCCATGCACTTCTCCCGACACCCAGGAGATGGTGCTGTGGATTTTGGATCGGGAGCTCAGCACCGGGGCTGGGGCCGGGGCCGGTAGGTCCTGGCGGAGCCCGGAGGGGACCCGCGGACTCCCGGCGGTTCTCCACGGCAATCCTCAGGTGCCCTTGGTCTCTCTGCAGCCCTCCAGAATTTCCTGTACATCACTAGCGGTCACTATCAGGGTGTCGTTCCTCACTCCAAGAAGCCTCAACTTCACAGCCCCTGCGCTGTGGGTCAAGTTCGCCGATGCCGTTTTTGTCCCCTCGCTACGGACCAGGAATGGAGGGAGTGCTTACCTCGGTTTCGCAGCCCTCGTCACACTAAAGGCCCCCAAGCCCGGCTGTACACACGCACCCGCCGGGTCCCCCCGCCCTGCCCGCTCGCCCCGGCCCCGGGGAGCTGCGCCGGGCGTCCCGGGGCTGAGAGCATCGCCCCCCTCGCATCCCCTACATCTCCTCCCCGCCACCCAGAGCCTCCGGCGGGCTGCGGGGCTCCTGCCTGCAGCAGGGAACAGCTCCCAGGCGAACCCACCGGCCTGCTGGGGCTGCCTCTGGGCAGACAGGCTCCTCTGAGGATGTTTGCACCAGGAGCGGATGCAGTGGGGAGGGTGATGTTATTTCCCTTTACTGGGTTTTTTCTACACCTTGAACTTAAATAAAGTTTTCTTCACAGAGAAGACAACACAGCTGCAGTTGCGGCGAACGAAATCTCTCTCCAAACGTTGGCTTAGTGCTGGAAAAGCCGGGCAGATCCTGCATGGGGGCTGCCCCTGCTGCCCTCGGTGCTCGGCTCTGATCTCCCCCAGGCTCGGCGTGTCAGAGGCAGAATTACTTCGGGCTGAGCTACTGGAAAAAGGACCAGCAAGTTGGGGAAGATCTCAAATCCTCCTCTTGCTCCCGGGGCCGTCCGGCTGCAGCAGGCACATGCCGTACCTTTGCTCAGAGCAGGCAGAGAGAGACTAACTTCACCTGAACTAAAATCTGTCCGCATTCAGCTCTTGGGCGTCTGAGGGTGAAATTTGGAAAGTATTTTTCATCATGGAAACTTTTCTGCAAACCCAACCCTGGGAAGAAGGAAAAGGGGATTTTACTTCTCTCACAGGTGGGGAGCAGAACAAAATAACTCTCCTTCAGATCTTGCTAAAGACGCCACAGAAAATCAGCAATCGCCGTGCTGTCTGCTGTCATGTGTATCCCGGGACCTTCCAGCGCCCTTGTCCCCCTCTCCTGCCTCCCTCCCCGGACGGCCCGTGCCCGGAGCCTGGGGGATGCTCTGGGGCGGCCGGCGCAGCCCTTCTGCAGCTCGGCTCCGGGCTGCTCATATCCCGAAATAATGACCCAAGTGTGGAGGAGCTGGTGGCAGAGGGCTGCGGTACAATTAAACCAGGTAACGAGACGCTGGGCAGATGTGTTTTCATTGCGCTGTAAGATAAACGCAGTGTTAAATGCCTGACAACTTCCCAGAAGCAATCAGCAAAAGTTTACGAGTGCATAAACCTCAAAGACCATTCCTCGGTATTTTTATAAGCGCCGCATTTAAAGCTTCTATAAATTCTTCTGCTTGCTTCCAAACTAAAGTTCCCGTAGACTGTTAAACAGACACTTCTTCGTAAGGTGGGGAGAGGCAGATCACAACAGGCGGGTCCAGGGAAGGCGAGAGGGGCTCTCTTTTTGTCCACTCCACTTTGATCTCCCAACTCCTCCCACACCTCCCACAAGGTGAAGTTTGTAAGAAAGTTGGCGTCTTTAGAGCACGACAAGTCACAGATGAGCATATCGGCAAGAGAAAGGGATACATTCGTGTCTCAAGAACAGGGCACAGACCCAGTAGAGAAGGAAAGGAAAGAATGAAAGGAAAAGAAATGTGGTTTAAAAGACGGGATGAGCAGGTAAAAGAATACGAGCAGATCTAGGGGCAGATCATGCACACTGACCGGTGGATAGGGAAGAGCAGAAAAAGCTTATACGGAAAGAGATTTCAGACGCAGAGGGCAAATCTGAGCGAACGCAGCCGAGAGGGAAAGGAGGCTGCCGCGGAGGTCGCCGCGGTGCCCCTGTTCCCTCGCCCCGACGGAGCGGCCCGGCAGCACCCCTGGCTCAGGAGCAGCTCCGGGATAGCGGGCCCCGCCGCCTGCGGAGAGGCAGTGTACGTCGTTCCCAAAGTTGCAGAAAAAACAAGGAAGATAGTGCTAGTGAACCCACAGATCAGGGGGAGAGATCAAGCCGGAGCCCTCTGTCTTCGAAGAAATAAGATGAGGGGAATGAAATGTTCGCACTAGCCATCAAATTATAATAACAGTATCCGTCATCCTTAAGTGACCACACGAGTTTTACAAGTTGGATGTTAAACAGATTAAATCATAATAATAAAAAAAATCCAAATCCCTGTTGCGAACATAAAGCCCTTTGTTTATGATCCCCGGGAAAATGAAGTTGCTAATTGAAAAACAATAAGCCTAAAATGCCTTTGGATTAATAATGATAGAGGTTAACGGTGACATCCATCCCTTGGAAAGGGGGAGGGGAGCGAGGCGCTCGGTGACTGTGCGCTTGGACGGCGACCAGGGACAAGCGCAGCAGCCAAATGGGGCTGGGGGGCGGGGGGTGAGACCCTCCCTCTTCGGAGGGCTCGGCTTGTATGTTCGCCTCTGATCCGGAGACACGAGGTGAGGAAGGTCTGTATTGTAGTCATGTCCTCGCTAGATGAAATCTCAGTCAATTACTCTGAAATCTGCAGCTTGGCTTCTTTTCATTCTTTCCAGGTGAAAATTCAAACGTTTTCTGTTGTCGCCTGGTCCTTTCTTTCCTGAAACAAGGCACCCAACTGTTCTGATATTACCATTCAAAAACGGGTTCTGTGGCAAACCTCATTTGTGAATCTATTACAGAGATTAATAGATTATTTCTCCTTTTTCAACTAATTCTCAGTGGGGAAATTTAACCATATGGTAAGGAGAGAATTAGAATTTCATCACATTAGAGCAAAATGTAATGAAAAGAGTCCAACACCTGGGGCCAACTCCGAAAGACACAATTAAAAGGTTTTTAATGAAACCAGAGAAACCAAAAAATTTCATAGCCTTCAGTAATCCTGCCACATAAGAATGATTTGGAAGTGTTGGGAAATACTGTTTTTTACTGATGTCATAAGAATGAAAACCTGCCACTAAATACTCTGAGTGCTAACAGAAAGGAGAGAGCGAGCTGCTCGCTTCAAGCATGAGAGGAGTAATGGGACAAAATTCAGACCGACCCTCGGGTTTCCACTTCAGCTTTTGGAAGAGCGCAGAGAGTGTTCCCGGCTCCGAGGAGAAGCCCCAGGAGAGGAGCAAGGGGTCGGGGTAACCGGATGACTGAGGCCGCCTCGCCCTGACACCGGCGGCGGCATCCCGGTGGTGGGGAGAAGAGCAGGGGTGCTCCCGCACAGTCGGGCTCGCTGGAGGGAGGCAGGAGGGCACGGACCTGGAAAGAGTTGGTCAGTCACATAAAAAATAAATTTTGAAAAGTTTGGTGGGTTTTGCCCTTTCTCTTCCCCCAGATCCGTTCATTTTCAAGGTAACTGATGGGGCTTTATGTTTTTTATAGGGATACGGGGGATAATCACTCGCAAGAAGCAATCTGCTACTTGAAAAGGGATAAGGGAAGGAGGAGGGGAACCTCCCCGTAGTTTGGTCTCCGTTTGTTGGAGGGAGGGTGGGGAGAGGGAGGACTGGGGACCACCCGCCTCCCAAGGAAGCAAGGTGGACTTTGGCGGTGGGCAGGAGTGGGCACGACGGCTGGGGTTGCTCCGGGGGTTTTAATTTTATGTTTTTCTTTCCCAGGCGATGCTTTTTGGGAAGTCGGGTGGGGGTGGGAGGGAGCTATAAGTTAATGTAAATGCAGGGGGTGGGTGGGCTGGGGGGAGAGGGTGTCACTCCTGACTCCACGGCTAAGTTAGCAGAAGTCTGCTGGCAGCACTCGGAAGGAGAAGTGTTGAAGTGGGCTTTTCTGCAGTGCAGGGCTGTAATTTGCTGAAGGAGGCAAAGAACATCCTTCGATCTAAGTAGGGCTTTTAGTGTGCTCATTGATGAGTGAAAGTCGCCACACATGTCAAGCTAAAGGCAGTTGTTGGGTTACTAACAGGACACAACGTCTTGCAAACATATGCGTTAAGCTGTGTATACAGATGGCAGGGAGAATAATGGAGCAGGCGCCTCTTATAAAGCTCTAGCTGCTGCCTGTCTTCAGACCTGGGAAAAGAAACTATTCAGACTCAGGGCCAGATAGCGCCTGGGATTGTTTGTTACCGTTTTAATCCTATTAATTAAAACGTTAACCTGATTGGGTAGAAAGCTCTGTCCCAACAGGCGAGTCTTCTTCATAATAACCTACTCTCAGAGATAATGATGTAAAAGACTCCCCCGTCTGCGGCGGCTGCTGGTTGATGGGTCCGGAAATCTCTTGAAGGTGAATCCAAGCAAGATAAACGGTGGAAGCGGCTCCACTGGCAGCGCACAATGCCCCAGCGCGGCGCCTGCTGAGGGCGAGCCGGAGCCACAGCCACAGACCGAGCCACAGCCGCTGCCGGAGCTGCAGCCCGAGCCGGAGCCGCCGCCCGAGCCGGAGCCACAGCCGGAGCCACAGCCGGAGCCGCAGTCCGAGCCGCCGCCGGAGCCAGAGAAGGGGCAGCCGCGGCGCCGGGCACGGCGCAGCCCCGGCGGGAGCCGGGAGACGATTTCTGCCAGCGGGACGCCGGGGAGCCGCCCGCCGCGGCGCGGAGCCTTGGAGGAGCGGGCCGGGAACTGAGGGGGGCGGAGGAGGCGGAGGCGAGCGGGGCGCCGATGGAGCGGGCGCTGGGGCTGCCCGCAGAAGAGGACCTCTTCCACAAGAGCCTCGCCGCCTCGGCCAAGCGCATGGAGTCCGCCTTCCGCTCGCCCCCGGGGCTCGACCTCTCCCACCCCCGCGACCGCCAGCCCTCGCCGCTCGCCTGCTACGAGGCGTCGGAGCCCGAGGCGCTGCTGCAGCCCGGAGTCGGCGGCGACCCGCTGGCGCTGCCGCCGGGCTCCGTCTGCGTCAAGTACGGCGAGAGCGCCAGCCGCAGCTCGGTGGCCGAGAGCAGCGGCGGCGAGCAGAGCCCCGACGACGACAGCGACGGCCGCTGCGAGCTGGTGCTGCGCGGCGCCGGGGGGGACCCGCGCGTCGCCTCGCCGGCGGCGGGCGGCGGCGGAGGGGGGGGCGGGGGGCTGAAGGCGGCCGAGGGCAGCTGCTCCAACAGCCACGGGCACGGCGGCAGCAAGAAGTCCAAGGAGCAGAAGGCGCTGCGGCTCAACATCAACGCGCGGGAGCGGCGGCGGATGCACGACCTGAACGACGCGCTGGACGAGCTGCGGGCGGTCATCCCCTACGCGCACAGTCCCTCGGTGCGGAAGCTCTCCAAGATCGCCACGCTCCTCCTGGCCAAGAACTACATCCTGATGCAGGCGCAGGCCCTGGAGGAGATGCGGCGCTTGGTGGCTTATCTCAACCAGGGCCAGGCCATCTCGGCCGCCTCCCTGCCCAGCTCCGCCGCGGCGGCGGCGGCAGCGGCGGCGGCGCTGCACCCCGCCCTCGGCGCCTACGAGCAGGCGGCCGGTTACCCCTTCAGCGCCGGGCTGCCCCCCGCCACCTCCTGCCCGGAGAAATGTGCCATCTTCAACAGCGTCTCCTCCAGCCTCTGCAAACAGTGCACGGAGAAGCCTTAAGCGCCGCCGCTGCCGTGGCCGCCCCCCGCCGCCGCCGCGGCCCCGGGGAGCGGCGAACGCCGGCGGTCCGGTCCCGGCCCCGGTCCTGGTCCCGGGCCGGGGGGCGCGGAGGCGGCGCAGGGACTGACCGCTGCCCGGCCCCCGCAGCCCTCTGCCCGGACTCGCCTCGCCTCGCTCTTCTCCTCGGGTGCCGCCGAGACGGGACCGCGACGGGAGCCAGCGTGCGGCGGCGGGGAGGGGGCGCGGGGCCGGGGGTGCCGCGGGGAGGAAGGAAGGCCCGGCCCGGGGGGCGCCGGGGGGGCTCGCTGCAGGTCCGGACAAAGGAGAGGCCGGGAAATAGCAGGCCGGGCTGGGAGCCGGGGCTATTGCCGGGGACAAATCAGAGAGGGCACTTGAACATAGATTTTTTTTTTTTAATTAATTATTATTAGCAGTATTATTATTATTCTGAGCCAGGAAACAAACAAACTTGAAATGTAAACTTATTATTTAAGTGACTCGCAGAAACAAAGAGACTGGACCACTGCTATGGAAGACTTTGTATTTTTTATCGTCTCTAAACTTTGATCCTGTGAAAATGCGCAAAGTTTGGTGAGAGTGATTTAAAAAAAATTGGGGGGGTTTAAAACAAAAAAAGACAAAAAATAACTGATCAAAACCCCTACTCCGTGTGGCTGAAAGTATCGCATTTTTAAAAGAAATATTTATGTGCACCTTGTTTCTTTCCACTTTGCAATGATGTATAAACAAGACATGCTATTTATTTGTTATTCTTTAAAATGACCCTTCCACGCCAACAATATTTATCATGTGTTAAGGTCATGGGTCTTATGTGCAGTTACTTTAAATGCTTCTAAAATTCTGTTTATGAAATAACTTAAACTGTGTGCCAAGTATTTAAAACATTTATTTGCCAACAACATATAACGAAAAATGTTGATGTATCCGAGCTGCTTAGGTTTATGAAAGGTCATCTGGATTTTAAGTTGCATCATCCCTGTATTTAAATTGAGCTTTAATAAATTGCTTCAGTCCAAAAATTACAGGAAAAGTGTATTCTTAATTGCTCAACCAACTAATTTTTGAAAGGGTATTCTTTGCATTATAACAGGTAATAACTATTTACTTTTACAAGGCATCAGAGCAATAGCTGCTACAACAACACTTGCCAAGCCAATGTTTTCCCAGGCGCTGTTTTTCCGAAGGTATAATTTAAACCGCTTTTAATGTGTATGTAAATTATTCTGACTGTGGATGATTATTTAAGTTGAAATACTTTAAAATACTTTAGGCTAATTTACAGAAAGCGTGGAATTCTTCTCTTCCTTTTTCAGGGGATGTGGGGGGGGCGGGTTTATGGTTTGTGATTTTGTTTGGGTTGTTTTGTTTGTTTGATTTTTTTTTTTTTTTTAAGAAAATGAGAGATGAAAAGCAAGAAGTAGCTATTTACCCAAAGTGAGCCTTCAGTTTGAGTTTGCATGGCTGGGTGGCTGTCTCTGCCATTTGTAAATCAAGATTTTTTTTTCATAATTTTTTTTTTCTTTTCAAAAACGAGTCCTGCTATTTTCCACTACTTGCAGATAATACAAATTCGGACTGTCAGGTTGGATGGAAAATAGGAGCCATGATGGATCTGTTGGCAGGTCACGGATGTGTAAAGAGTGATATATATTAAATAGGTCAATCAGATTATGACAGCAATGTACGATCGTTTGTGTGTGTATCTATGTCGGAAAGAATCTTTATTAAAATATTTTGAACAAACGCTTGTATTACGCTGTGCTTTGTTGAGCAGATCTATCCAGATTTAAGGAGGTGGACGGTGGGGGTGGGTAGTTTTCTTTCCTTTGCCTTGCTCTGAGTGCGCCCCAGTACCCTCCCCGTCACCCCACTCCCGGCTCCGGGTGTCCCAGGCAGGGAGGCGACAAGTTCCTCCCTCGCTGCGTTTCCCCCGCTCCCGAGGCAGGCGGGGGCAGCCGTGGGGCGGCCGGGCCCTCCCTGCCCGCCCGTCCCGCGGCTCCACGCCCGCCCGAGCCCTGGCGCTGGATGCTCCGCGGGGTGCGCTGCAGGACCGCCCCCCCGCCTCCTCCCCGTCCGCCGAGTTTTGGAGCCGCCCCTCCCCTCGTGGACCCTCCGCCCTGCCCCAAACCCGAGGGCAGGGGGAGCAGGGAGCCCCCCCAGGCTGTCTGCTCGGCGCTAAGCCCGGGCCGGGGGTCCCGGTCCTGCGGCTCCCCCCTCCCCTCGGGCGGCCCCGGCCGGCGCCGGGTGTCCGCGGAGCCGCCTCTCCCAACGGCAGCACCACAGGCGGGGGAAGGGGATAAATATTTTCTGCTCCACTTCCCATCAAAAAAGATTAATCAGAACCTGTAACTTTTCAGGAAACATAACTGTAAAGTGCCACGGAGCTGTGGGAAGGCAGCCCAGAGAGGGTGGGCAGATCAGCCCCCAGGCGCAAGGAGAAGCGTCTCTCAGCATTTACTAGACAAAGGCTGGGTGCGTCTAATTATGATTATTAAAACAATTTCCATGACGATGTCTAATATTATGTTAATTTGAAAACAACTGTGTATGAAAACTGTCGACTATAATACCTAAATTCATTTAATGAAACACATCGTTAAGGCAATTAAACCTCCTGGATGTGATTAAGGAACATAATTACGACACTGTTCTGCGCCATAATTGGGTGTCTTTAATCAAGGGGTAAAGTGATCAGCAACACAGCCATTAGTTTGTATTGTTCTGTCTCTGCTGTCCATCATTCTGATTAGGAATTAACCACCGCCACCAGCTTGGCGTGGTGCGTGCCTGTGTGTGTGTCTGTGTGAGTGTGTGTTCGTGCATATAACATCGCAGGACACATTTGCTGCAATATTTACCGCTTAATGTCTCTGGCTACAGAGCGGGCTTCCTTCCCGGAGAGGTTCCCTTGGAAGGCGCGGGCACTGCTCCACTTTGCCCGGCCGTGGGGTGGGGGAGGACAAGCCAGGTCCCAGCAAACTCCAGGAGCGGCCGGGACCTAGGATGGGGAGAAAGCAAGGGGCTGGGAGAGGCCCACGCCCTGCCTCCCGGCTCGCCTGGGCAGGGTCCGAAGTGTACGGGCCGGGCCTGGAGTGCTCCCCGCCGGCTCTGGGCAGCGAGGTCTAAGGCACATGGAGCTGTTTGTCCGTTCACCGCTCCCTCTCTCGCCTGCCTCTGCTTCGGAGCCACGGGACAGCAATATGAAAGTCTTTCTCGTCCCTGGCTACCGCTGCCGCCCGACTTTGGGCTCTCTTGCTTCCTCTTCCATCGCTTCGGAGGAAGGCGAGGGGTTCGTGCCAGGTATAGGTGCTACCACTCCTGGCCCCACTCTCCTGTCGCGCTGCATCGGGCATCCTCCCTGGGAAGCGGCGCGAAGCCACTGGGCCAGTCCCTGAGCAGGTCTTGCCAATGCAAGCGTAATGTGTGCCGGGCTGGGGGGAGGAGAGAGGCTCCCCCGCCCCCCTTAAAGCTTGACAGATCACTTAGCCAGAAATGAACATGTACTCTTTCAAAAGAGCTTCTTCCCCGTTTCCAACCGCCCCACCGAACCGGGATCTCCCTCAGCCTCATCCGGAGCTCCCTCTGCCCCCGCCGCCCAGCCTGGCTCCCTTCCCCGGCCCCTTACCCCGGCTCGGAGCCTAGATTGTCCCAGCATGAGTGACATTGGCTTTCCTAATGTAATGACTTATGAAAGATATAATCATGTGTTAAATTGAATCCTCCGCTTAACTGTTAATGGTGTGCTCTGGGCACATTTACGTATTAGATGCTATGGTAACTAATTACCACTAGAAGAAGGGATAATACACTTTCCAGACTTTGACAAATAATTATGAGTGTTCACATCCCTGCTAGCAGCAGTTGCAGCGGATCTGCTGGAATGAGTAAGTGAATAAATGAATGGGTAAGTGAACTTGTGTGCATGGAGGGGACTAGATAATGAATAGTGGTCAAGTGAGTTTTCTTATTAAAACCTTTAATGAAAATGTGATTTAAGGTGGAAGGGGGAAAAAAAGTGCGACGCTGCCTCTAAACGTAATTAAATCGCGTAATATAAACATCAGAAACATAAATAAGTTTGCTTTTAATTAAAACTTAGCAGTCAAAGTAAATTATCCACGAGCTCGGAAACTTTACAGCAATTAACACTTTTTTTTTTGGTTTTTTTTTTTTTTGTTGTTGTTGTTTTTTTTGGTGGTGGTGGTGGTGGCGGAGGGAGGCTGTTGGGGGTAAAACAGACGAGCCGGGACTCCGCGACTCTCTCCAGCATCATTTGTAACTGTGATCGCACCGCCCCTGCCCACAGGCCGGAGGTTTCCTGAGGCTCTAAGCAAGTGGCAGAAGAGCTCCTTGTCGGAGCGAGATAAAAGTTTGGGGAAGTCGCTCTGGGCTCCGCACCAGCCCCGGTCCCCGCCGCCAGCCCGCTCCGCGGGGTCGCTGCTGCCCGTCGGGGCCCGGCCCCCGGGGCCGGGAAAGCTCCGGCACCAGCAGAGCCCACGGAGGGCGTAGGGCAGGCTCTTCCTCCAGTGTTGCATGGCTTAGGCAGGCGCCGCAGGGGTTAAGCCGATTGTGCCCGCTCCTGCGCTGCCATCCCGCCGGGGCAGGGGCAAAGGCAGGAGCCGCTGCCTGGAGCGGGAGCCGGCACGGCTGCCCCGGGCCCCAGCCCCACTCGGGGGCTCCCAGCAGCCCACGTCGCAAAGGGGACATCTGCTAAAGGAACATAGAATTACAACCAGCCTCATTTCCCCCTGGTCACTCATCAGCTCGGTGTCACCCAGCCCGCCCACACCCGCCCCCGAAGCGCTCCGGAGGGGAATTTGGTCTGGTTCGGCTCCAGCCTTGGGAAGGGTTAAATCCTTCCCCAAGCCCCTAGTTGCCCTTGTCCTCTCAACCTGATTCAGAGACGTGTAATAAAATAGGAAGCAAATTTATGGTCTGTTTCAAGCACTTTACTGCTGTATTTTTAAATTCATATATGCACATATAAGAACTATGATCTGTGAATAATTTGAAATGCTATAGGAAAATGATGTATTTTAGATCAAACATAACCGTTTTCTTACATAATTGTCCCGGATTAAAATAAAAAATAAAGATACATTTCGAAGAGAGACAAAGCTGAAAATCTAATGACAGCCATAAACTGCTAGACAGCCATAAATTAACGTCTTCATCAAACACTGAAGGGATCAGTGCTTATCTAAATCAACAATTATTTCTTCCGAGAAGTTGCAGAACAGATTGCCCCTTTAATACTATTTTTAAATCTTCGTAATTGAGGATTAGGGAAAAACAATTGCCTTTCCAGAGTAAACCTCTTCTCCACCAGCCGAAGCCCTCCAAACTCACCGAACACTCAAACCGCTTCCCTAGGAACCTCCTCGGAGGTCCCGTCACCTTGTCCCACTGCAGCATCCCTGGAAGCTCGTGGTGCTTTTAGGAAGGGGCATGTAAGAGTGTTTCCTCACCCCCCTCTCCCCTGATTTTTGTCGCGGGCCGGGGGAGGTGGGAGCGCAGGGAGCACAAGCCGGCGGCAGGAACCCGGCGGGCGGGGATGCGGGGATGGGGGAATGCGGGCGGGAGAGGGTGCGGGTCCCTGCCGCCGCCGCGGGCCGGGAGCATCCCGGAGCCGAGCCATCCCGGAGCGGCAGCATCCCCCGGTGCTTCAACCATGAGCTCAACTAATGCCCATCCGCTTTTCAGGTTCAAAGCTTTAGCGAGGCGGCACTTCTCCCAGCTGCAGCCACCTGCGATGCCGGTTTTGCAAGAGGCTGCTGTAAAGAATTCATTTTTAAAAGGCAACTGAAAGATACGTTGTGAAGAGAGGCGATTCACTGGCTCACAAGATGGAAATTAGACAGGAAAAGACTTGCTGCCTGTAGGAGGTTAGCAAGTGACTAAACTGTTTGGAAGAAAGAGGTAGTTGGAAAGATGAGCTGATAGGGAAGAAGTCACTGTCAAAAGTCATCACAGGGTGTTTGCTTACTGACTTTTACTCTCTCCGTGTAGCCAGAACTTAGACTTGTTATTCAACTTCTCTGTACTCATAGCTGCCGGTTTTGGGGAAAAGAAAAATAAACCAAAATCGGTTTAAAAAGTCTTTGAAGATAGAAAGAATGAAAGGCTTCTAGCAGGAACAGCTGAAGCTTAGTCTTCTTTTGATTAATTATTTTGGTGTGAATAGTGTTGAAGACAAGCACATTTCTACTATTACGAATGATATGCTCACACAACCTCAGTACACGAGATCCCAAGAAAGTCTGATGCACAGAATAAACACAGAACTGGTTTATATGAGGATCAATATCCCACTACAGCTTCCTTGCTTTCACTTTAAAATGGAACATTGTCTACCTCTTTTGGATACACTTTTATATATTTCTTCATATTTATTACTAATTATAAACATAGACAATAACTTAAGGGCCATGATACTTTCCTAAACATAGCTTTGAGTGGTGTTTTTGTAATGAGATAATTTTTCTATTATGTAGTGGGTATAGGGTACATGACTAGCTGAGAGGCATAGGCTGGTTTAGGCAGTAGACAGGAAAATACTTCACTTTCTATGGTCTTGCAGTTAGAATAAACCTATTCATATGAGTTAAACATATGCATAAATTGATACCTTGAACAGTTTTAAAATACAGTGCTATACAAGTAACATCAAGACAGTACCTACTATCAAATCAAATACTAGATAAAATACAGTGTTAGGGGGTCTCACTAACTCCCTCCTTTCAAGCTGTCTTTCCGATCATTATGGAAAGCTCACTCAGAAATGTGCCCTTCAAGAAATCTTGAACAATGCCACTTTTTAATTTATGAATTTCAGTAACTTCTAATATAGCCTGGAGTTAAAACAATTGCACAGCAACACATAGATTTATCAAAACCAGAAAATGTTGCAGGTCTGTCTTCTCTAGGAAGTATCTTCAATAACCCTTGCAGACATACCTGGCAAGCATTTCTGCATGAAGGAATGGAGAAACACTGATGCCTTTAGGGTACAACCTTCCTATTAAATACCTACTTGTAGAACTCAGCAGCTACAGTGATACCTAGAAAAGCCAAGGTACGCTTTGCTGGTGCAGTGCTGTGTATCGTAACAATTTCATTCATATCCCCTTTTAAAATGAATGATCTGTGAAGACAGAATATTTTACTTTAGGTAGTACATCTTGTACTACAGGGAAGTTTGCAAAAGCAGAAGCCTAGGAGCTGTACCTAGGAATCACTAGTAGACTGCAGATCTTTATACCAATTTTGAATAATGTCCTAAGAATGTCAGAAATACCACTTTTTTTACCTCATCTGATGAGAACTGGCTTATGTTTCCTGGCAAAGAAGGGTGTGTGGTAAAAATAGACACAATCATTTCCAATATTCAGAGGCGTTTCTGTATTCCACTGTTGAATTAAAGGCTTTTTTTTTTTCATTACAAAAATATCTGTCAAGATCAAGTAACAGAAAAATGTAGCATGTTGAAATAATAATTAAAAAGTTAAAGCAATAATTGCGAATCTGTGAGAAAAGTACAAATAGAAGCTGAAAAAAACACCACGAAAAACCATTCAATATTAAAATAGATATATTCCTTTTTATTGTGTCCTTGAAATACAAAATTCCTTTAAGATGTTAGATTACTAAAATAATGAAATTTTGATTTTCTTGCTCAGAAGTACCTTAGTTGATCTAGGAGCCTGAACAATGGATATTAACTGTTAAGAAGAAACTAGCCATTGTTCATCTATATATAAATTGTGAATTTGCAAAATTAAGAGCACTTCACAACCTCTTGAATGACAAAAAGTTGAACAATGACAAAATAAAAGATCACGTAAAATTCTACAAGAGAAATTCACAGACAAGTAATTATTCATAAAAATAGCAGTGCCAAAAATAGTGACATGCAGCTGGCTTAAGAGCATAAACTAAAGAACAACTCTTACATGGTTTTATATTATTACATTAGGACATACTGACAGAGGTATGAAAATCTAATTTGCAAACATGTACACAAATACTAGATGGTTTCCTAAATAATGGAACGTTTAAAAAAGTTTACAATAGCATCTAGCAGCACTAAGTGCCAGCATGAAAATGGAGAACATTCAATCTGTAAATTAAAATAGGAGGAATAATTTAAAAATTACATTTTAGTATTCACATTAGTTCATGATAAATTGAATTTCTTCTTGGGTGCTATAAAATGCCATACTGACTTAATATTTTTCCCTATTTTTTGATGAGAAAAAAGGTGCTTAATTTTTTTTTTAATAGCAGAAGATACTATTGATGCAGCCATAGACATCACCAACTTACAGTCAGAGGCTGATAGTGACCAGCTGAGTCACATCTCAAACGGACGGGTGAGTGCACCAGTTCATCGAGGAACAGCAGAGAAATTCAGGGGGTACCCATGTGCTCCTCCTGCCTGCCCCTGCACCTGCTGTGGGTGCCTCCAGCAGGTACTGCTGGGCTGGCAGGGCAGACCCCCCTGCTGAAGTGGAGAGGTGGGAGAGGGAAGCACAGGTCTGCCTCCCCCACCCTGCCCTGCAACCCATTGTCACCTGAACACTGGCAAAGACCACTGCTGTTTCTGCTTAGATGATTTTGCCTCTTCGTGCTCCGGTGACAGACATTCAGAGCTGCACACTCCCGGGTCCTGCAGCAGAGGAGGTCATCAAAAAGGGTGTTGTGCTCTGTGTAATGAAACATTCTCTTCTGGGCACAGCACTCTGCAGCTAGCTTGGCTACAGCTGGGACCTTCGGGGTGCTGCACTCTGTTGTGCTGTCTCAGCTTATTGACCAGGAATACCAACACCATGGGCTTTTCAGTCTTGCTCCATGGAGACTGAGTCACTCCTGGTCAGACCAGCTGCTGACTCTCAATGTTTCCCCTCCTCAGTTGCTGAATACATGGACCAGAAGGGCTTAACCTCTCTGTCCAGCTCCAGCTCTCATGACCTTACATTGGGACAAGAGTTACTTCCTCAGCAGCCGAGGTATGCCAGGGTAGTGATGCATTGCTTACCAGCCAAACCAGGAGCCTGGGTTACCAGGACACAATTCCAGGACAGGCTGGGCAGACCCTGGTTTGCATTTGATTATTTTGGTTCCTGAGCAAAAAGAGCAAGCAACTTTTATCCGGGAAGAATGCTGACCTCTTGTGTGGTGCTCTCTAACTCTGATGCAAGGCCTCCAAGCAGCTTCATAGAGGTTTCCTGCAACTCCTGGGAAAGATTCTGACCCTTTTCTCTCTCTTTTTTTTTTTTTTTTTTTAATGGAACATATCATGCAGATTTAATTTGCTACTTTGGAGACAATCTAGTTCTTCTTTTAATTTCAGAACAGATACTATACAAATTGATCAGCAATTAATCTCAAACTACTAATGATTTGCATGTACTTTTGGCACAGTCCTATTATGCCCTATCAAATTCTGCAGCAGCCAGTGATACTCTAATTCGAAATCCTAAAAACAGAATACAATTATAAAAAAGAGACTTCTGTTTAAAACAAATACCCACTGTTATTTTCACAGTGCTTCAGGTTTGTTTTAAAGTTGGATGCCAAAGAAGGACTCGTCATAATTGTAGCATGAGACATTTTACAACTTACATATAAGCAATAATGGAATACAGTCAACAGTGTAATGATATCAACATTCCCTCTCTCAGTAAACCAGGCTCTAATGTCCAAACTGCATTGTGAGCTACACCTGAGTACAGAATAGCTTCTACAGAGTAACTACAGGAGTAAGTAACCTGAGTACAAGAATGTCTCCATAAAAACCAATTTTATTCTGTGGCACAAGGCAGTAATCAGCTTTTGCTGTTGATTAAACGTTGAAGTAAAGTTAAAGTAAAGTTAATCAACTGCAAAGCCCATTTAACATAAGTGCACTCCCAATTTGAGGACATTATTGATACTATATATGAAGAGAAAATGTTTATCCAATATATCTCACAAAACCACAATTTTCTTCTTGGAGGATTTGGAATGGGGCTGTACCAATCTCTGAAAGTCTTTCTACTGATACTGACACTTGTTTAGGGTATGTGCTTTACACAAACAACTGAAGAGGCTTCTACACAAATAACAATAAATAATTCTTAGTATGCAGGTAGTAGTTTTCATTTATAGGCCATCAAGTGCTCTACAGATGAGTAGAATTTCTGATTTTGAAAGACTTAATCTTGACACATCCCAAAGAGAGATGTCTTTTAGGAACACAAGGGTAGGCCCACGGACATGGCTATTCTACCATAACAATTATCATCTTGGCAAATTGAGATTGGACAGCCATGGGAATTCTCATCAATCTCTGAAGAGATGGCTGGGAAGAGAGACAGGGTCCAAAATCTCAGATTTTGTGCACTAGGAAATTAATTTTCCAAACAAGAGCTGGGCACCCACTGAAGCAGGTTGGGCAGCCAGTGTAAACTTCTGTGGCTGCCCAGGGTTTTCACTTGCTCAAATTTTGGCCCCAGGGAAGAGCCTGTTTTCCAATTTGCAGATGGACAAGTCTGTTTCCAAACACAGGTCACACTACTCTGCCTATGCATAACTTAGGCAAAGTAAAACAATGTTAAAAAGCATTTTTAGATACCACATTTGCCCTTGAAACCCTCTTTCTCTTTTGCGTTTTTGGAGAAATTAAAAAAGCATAAGAAATGGTCAAAATAAATGCACGAATATGTTACTAAGAAACAGTGAGAGAAAGAGAAGCTAATTTTCGAGGTGATAGAAAAATTTCAAACAGGCTTATATATTTTCTCCCTGAAGAATATGCTTTTTTGGGGGACTCAAATGCCAAAATAGATAATTTAGGCTTGATCAGGAGCCTATTAAAATGAACAGAATTTCCCTTCTGGCTTTAAATGACTACAGGAAAGGAATCACATATTTTAATTTTTTTGCACTGCACAAAAAAAAAAAAAAGGTAAAAGGAGCAAGAAAGCAAAGCATTGAGCCTCAGTACATAAACCTGAAGTTAGAAATGTGTTGTCAGTAAGACATTCTTGTAAATCATCCTCCACCACTCCACACAACTTCCATCACATCTCCCAAATAAAGGGCTAAGACTCTCAAGACCATGAAAGAAATAAAGTAAATATAAAGTTAGGATAATAATCACAGGACATTCTCTCATCCTCTAGAAATAAGCTCCCCCTTTCTTATTATGCTTCTATGAGCAGATGCTGATATTCCTCTAGATGATGGGTGTATGGGACCTCACAATCAAACCCTGTGACAGAGGGCTGCTGAGCCCATTTCCCACATAAGTGGCCTGGATTTGTCCTCTCTGTAAATCCTGCTCATCCCACAGCCAAGAGTATGGGGATGCACCTTGGAGAGATGCTGGGCTATTTACTTGGCCAGACTCTTGTCATGTCACCTCACTTCTCACAACTCAAGCAGGACAAATTGAGGTTGCACGTCCCTGCATCTGGTCTCTACCTCCAGCCCAACGGCTTTTCTCCTTAGAAACAAAGAGGAAGGAGGTAAAAGCAGAGAGAGAAAAGAAAATGTTTCCAAAAACATAAAGCTGAGTGATGAAACAGAGCAAACATGGAGATTAGTGGAAAGCATATAGGCAGCTGCTCAATTTCTTAAGGACCTTAGCTTGTAACGAAAGGCAATATCAACGTCTGGCAGGAGGATACCAAGGCCCATGCGACTGTTATCAAGTCTGACAGCTTTGTTTTCTGCTAGTTCTACATCAAAATGAGACAATAGTATGAAAAGAAACATCTTCATCTCATTCATTGCGAGGAACCTCCCTGGACACATGCTGATCCCAGAGCCAAAGGGCATTAGGAAATACTTCAGTTTTCTTCCTGCCTTGTAGAATGTGGTTTTCTTCTTGCCATTCTCTATGTATCGATCGAACTTATACTCCTGGAAACGAAAGAGAGAGAGACAGCGTGATATCTAACAAGGCGGTTACATGCGCTGCTTTCTTTGCACAATGGTAACGCGTCTGAAACCCAGAAAATAAGATAAAGAGGAAGACAAGGAGCTGACAGCTTCTTCTTTTTAGTTGGTTCCCTCAAGTTTCATTAACTCACATTATCTTCCCTGCAAAGAACACCCTTTAAATCCACTTATTTAGCTTAGTCCTTTTACATCAAGCTCCTTCAACTTCCACATTTCATCCACTGAGTGTCTGGCCTATATTGATTGTAATTAGATTTTGACCGCTTTGTAGCAGGGACAATGAACCTTAGTGGAAGGACAATTTTCTTGTAAAGCATCATATGCACTCAGTGTGGTACATACATCATGAATAAAGATAATCTGCCAAAATCTGCAAATGCCTATGAATAAATTAATGCATTGCACTGATTTTGCTCTTGCAAGCTAGAGCAAAATCCATCCTTCTCTTGCACCGAATGGTGCATATTATTTGAAAACTCCAACACTCTGCAGCCAGTTTTCCTTTCAGTTGGAGATGGTTGCTGCTTAATTTGCCACATCTTACCTTCAAATATTTTGCTGCAGAAGCTGTGAGCAAAGCAGGACAATGCCGGTGACTGACCATTATATATGACCATTTTCAAGTAAGGCTTGAGGTCACACTTGTAACCTACATTCCATAAACTGAACATATTTCTGACTGTTTTTGAGTAGCAGGATCCCTGTTTAGAGATAATTTGTGTTTTTGAATGAAGGAGATCTGGCATCCTCACTCAGTCAATGGCAAATTAACCACTTACAAAACCCTCCTGCATGCTTTGAATAAAAATGACAGGCACTTCTTGCTTATGGTCACTCATTAGCATTTGTCCTGCTTTGCATACATCTGCTATAGCAGCAGCCATTTGGAGCTGGCTGGGAACAAGTCAGTCAGACAGAAACCGACCTCAACTGATTAAAAAACCCCATACCACCATTAAAAATACACTGATACTGATCTACCCATTAGATTAAAGGCTCTGAAAGTCATGCACTCCAGGTCTTGCTGTTGAGAAACAAATGTCGGTGGAGGTGGTCAGTGAGAAAGGGAACAAGCACTACATGCACTGGAGGGGATGTAACTTTGGGTGCCAAAGAACAGGATCTTGTTTCACTAAATGGCAGAGGCCTGGATTTTCCACAAATATACAGGTGATTGTATGTCTGCTTCCACTGGCAAGTAATTATTTTCAGTATCTTTGAACACCCCAGCCAAAAGGAAGCATGACTTTATTTTTTTCTGTCAGGAAGTTATTGCTTCATTTGAAGCAGCACAGTAACAAATGAAACCCCAGAATACCATAAGATTTACTTCCTGAATTCTAAATCCTGCTGGTCTAAAAAAGCATCGCTAAATATGAACTGCAGTAGTTTAAAAACCCAATCCAGAGCTCTTCGCTTCACTCAAACATTTTCACAAGGTGCACTTCTGGTGTCTGTAGCAATTAAGAACTGTGTTATTGAACACACAGACACACTGGGTCAAACCTTATGCTTTCTTTGTCATGTTAAGAGCTTTCTGAGACTTGTAATTGCTTTTAACAAAAAATAAATTGCTGTCTAAGGAACAGGGAAAACAAAAAACAAGTGTGAGACAGGAATGTAGCCAACGACAATGACATCAAACTCAGTGCTGCTGAAGCCTCTTGGGTTGAGTAGTGTTTCCTTAAAAGCTAGTTCACTGGCTAAATAATGACTAATTTTTAAAAACGAAGAACTTTCAGCCATGCACAAGGTCTCCTGAAAGAGAACATGGAGGATGACAGCAAGGAAAAGGTCAGAACACTGAACAAAAACAGGCAGTGAAGTTCTGTGTGGACGAGCTGCTACAAGTATTACGAAAACTGAGCAATCTCCAGTGATTGATCTAAGTCTCTTTCTGTCACATACTGTATTTAGCTTTGTTTGGGAAGTCACCATGGAGGGTTTCCTGCAGGGCTGCCTGATATTTACTCTATGGGTTTTGCAGAGTTAATTTACTGAGCTCTACAACTAGCTGAGTTAGAATTTAGATATTGACTTATACACTTTATAGAAAACTGGCTAATTTATTTAGGCCTTAATGGGTGGAGAAAGAGGTCAGAAATATATGCTTACACTTACACAATATGGTGCTAAAGCACAAGATAGCTTGAACTTAAATTTATGTATCCAGGAGAAAAAGCATTGCTACAAAATTATCTCGTCAAGCTGCCTGTTTTCCCAGGAAAAGTTTTCCCTAAATACATGACAAGCTCAAGACTGCACCTTTCAAAAAATTCATTCTCCATCTCTATCTGATCCTCAGTAGTTATTGTTGAAAGCACACTGCATATTTTAAGAACCAAACAGAACAGTGATTTCCCCACTTTTCGAGAGGGGCCCATGTGCTGAAATCGATGTACTGCAATGTGTGGATTGCTCATTCACTATCAAAAAGATAAAATATATGAACTAAAGCTGTACTGTGAAAGCTGAGCAGAGCTGATACTAAGCAGATATATTCAAGCAATGGAAATATGGTAATATATTCCGGCAATTATTGGATAAGGGAGGAGATCAGTTTCCACACTGATGCTTTTGGTCTAGGACCTAAACAAACAGATGGACTTTTGACAAATCAATAACGTTCTCCAAAATAAAGTGTTAAGGATAAAATGAAAAAAAAAAAAAAAGCTGATTTGTTAGCTGTTATCTATCCTTTTTTAAGGATAAAAATATTAATCAACTATTTGCCAATGGATGGATTATTTTTAAAACCCAGATTTTCTCTGCAGGCTTTATCTTCATTTTTGGGTGGGGACAGGCAGCAGAGCTCCCCTGAATGTAATTTTCATTCTCGTGGCTCCAATGTTCATCCCAGTGACTATACCTTATTCCTGCTGACTCCAACATGCTCCACACCTCCTCTCACTGAGGCTGGCAGAGCTCCTACAGAACGAAATGCTGTCCTGCACCAACGAGGCACTTGAATTTCATATCTTCTTTGCAACCTCTCATCCTTATATTCCTGAAAGGGAGAGCTTTACGGAGCAATGTCTTTAACATGGGCTTTCTATAAACATGTAAAAAAACCCAATTCCTTTCTTCTTTGGCTCGAATGCCAAGGATGGAAATCAGCATGGCTGGGAGACAGCCATTTGCTTAGGAAAATAGGGGTGAGGAATGGATGAGGTGCAAGCTCTTGCCTCTCAGGCAGACAAGCCATTTAACCGCCTCAGCGTGCAACCTTGCTCTTTCTTGCTCTTCCTCTGTGGTACCCTGGGCTGGGGACAGCAATCTGGGGAGCAACCTAGCTGAGAGGAGGACTATTCAATTTGCATGCAGGTGGTGAACTTCTGAAGCTGTATTACAGCTGAGGCAGGGTGGATTAATTTCGAGTCTTTGATATTCATTAACTTGAGCGTCAGAGAAAAATACAAGAAGATGACACAATTACCCTCCGAGCTTCACTGCAGAGCAACAGCTTTACAGTCTCAAGTTCACAACACTCTAATTGATCAAGAAGGGGTGAATCCCTACGAAGGGAGGTGAAAAAGCATAAGGCTCAAGTAAGACACTGCTATTATAGGGCTTCAGAGAGTCAATGATGCTTTGCGGGCACTTAGCTAAATGGCCCACATTATTTGCTATTTAAACCACCTTCTATTATTCAGCCCTCCTTGGGTATCAAATGATCCACTGCCAAACAAAGCCCACATTTAGCCTAAAGTTTATGGTAGTCAATGTGCAATTGTCAATTCCTTTGAAAGCAGTCCGCAGTCAGTCTCATCACCATATTTCTCTCTTCAGGCCATGAATCCTTTGACCTGCAGGGCCCTAGAAAATACATCTGAAACTAGGAAGATTTGTTCCACAAGAAAGAACAGCAGTAAAAAAAAACCCAAAACAACCCACAGATCACAAAAGGCTTGGCTGCTGCGATGTGCCTGGAGTAGGAAGGGTAGCACCAGCTGAATGTTTACCTTAGGATCTTCATAGACCTCAGGGTCCATGTGCAAAATCTGCGGGTAAAGGGCTATCCAGTCTCCTCTCCTCAAAACGACTTCTTGATTCCCTTCAAGCTTGAGAACAAAATCCTCTTGGCTGATGCGGATGTTCATGGAGGATGAGCACATTCTTAAACTCTCGTTTAAGGCACTCTCTGCAATAAAACAAAAGGGGGAGGGGGAAAGCATCAGAAATATGGGAGATGACTGGAAGTTATACATGGCTACAGCTGCTGATTCTCCAGGAGTTTAGTAGGGCAGGCTAAAGGAGAAAAAAAAAAAAAAGGAAGAAACCACACAAGCAAAACCAAACATAAAGCAGAGATCAGGAGGAGGCAATACACAACCCCGCAGGGTTGGGGTGGGGCAGTCGGGTTGCTGAACATCCCGAAGTGATTCTCACTGATGGTGATGAGAAATCCTGTCGGTTGCAAGCAGCACCAAGTTCTGGGGGGAAAGTCATTATTCAGCCATCATGTTGAAAACAACACAATCAAAAGACATGAACACTTTATGCATTTACATATATTTTGGTGGTTGCAAACAAATACCAGAGAAAGCATCCATGGAACTGTTTAGCTTGCCTTTTGAAAGATGTTGGATTTAATGGTAGGACTACACATTAGAAATCATTCTGCTTGCTAATTCTGCAGTCATTCTGAGAATTTTAAAATGTATTTTCTTCTCAATGCACAATGCTGCCAAATTATAGTGTCTGTTGTGGTCAGCGTGAATGAAAGCAATTCATTATCTGCCTAGTAATTTTAAGAGAGAAAGACACTTCTAATTGGCCTAGAGGAAACAAAATATAGTCCTTTTAGATTTGGGAAGAGCAAGATTTCTGTCTCCACCATCACATTCTGGAAGGCTCCAGAAGCTGAATGTCCTTGCTTTCCCAGTGGCCTTCACCTTTTGCTCCTAGCACGACAGATTTTATGGCTAATTTCCGGCAATTTATCCTGGCAGTTTGAGGAGGAATTCCTTTGGGAATAATATGCATAATTTGCATAAATCATTCTGATAGCATGTATATCAGCATGTAGCTCCTGTCTAGGGCTGCATCTCTCACTTTGTAATCAAAACTGACTATTTTTCCACCAGCGTGTATGGGCACTGTTATATGTGACTTGATTCCTTCTAATCATTAGTGCGAAAAATAGCCTAAAATAGGGTTTCATTTGCATGTAATAATCCATTTGTGTCTGCATTTATGTTTTGTGATATCAAATAAGCCTTCTCTAAGTGTTCACCAAGGCACTGCCATTGCTGCACCCAAAAGGTTAGCTTATTAGAGACAGTAACTATCCAGTGTAGATGCCTCCGAAAAAAATAATAACAAACGTTCTTTCACTAAAAATTAAATCTGGTGCAGCATGCATAGCAAATAAAGTGGCCCTGGATGCTTTCTTGCAGGAGGTTTTTCCTTAAGCATGCATTTGTCTAAAGAAATGAGGCTGCGGTCAGCTTTGTGTGGCCAGCGCCGTGATTCAATGTGACGTACAGTGAGTCTGTGCATATTCTTTTGGACTGCCTTCGTTACTATAATCAGGCAGAGTCAAATCGGCTTGTTGGTGACGAAGCCAGAAAAGAACCCTGGTTCCAGAAGATGGCCTCTACTGCGGATAGCCACAAGGCACCTGACACGATAGATTTCAACTGGCAGCGCTCTGGCAACAAAACTTTACGCGGTACAAAAGAAGGGTCCAGCCTCGGCTCCAGACTGCCTTCAACCTGCAGAAAATGAAACTGGTAGCTTTGCACCAGTCCACCATTTGGAAGTGGTGGTGACATATGTAGAGATGGCAGAAATCAAATGAGAAAGAGGGAAGGAGGGAGGAAAAAAAAAAGAGAAATAATTATAAAGTGCCGTGGCAAAATAGCAGGTTTACGTTTAACCACCCAAGCAATGCGGTCACATCCTATCGGTGGACATCCTCCCAGAAAGCGCAGCAGTCCCTGCCCGCTGCCGGATCTCAAATGACAATTGGGCAGCATATCTTATGCAGAAGTTAATCACAATAATGGAGCACAAAGTGTGGCTTAGCAGTCAGATCGTAAATGACAAATCTGCTTTACCTTCCAGTACCAGTTATGTGTGGAAGGCGAGCTTGGCTCTCGCTCTGAGCGATCATGCCGATAATCATTAGATGACAAAAGTAATGAGTCACATTATGATCAACAAAGGAGAATGGAGCTTATATGGCTTTGCAGGCTCGCATTAAAAAAATAGACAGTCAGCTTTCCACAAATGCCAGAGCTATACATTGAGAGGAATGACAACTGCACAATAAAACTGCAGCCTTTACTTGCAGTTGTCATAGTTCAGCAGACACCAGCCATCGCTGCTGACAGACCAGCTGGGTAGCTTGGGAGGCCTTCCATTCTGCACCGTGAGGTACAGTAAATTATCCAGCATGGTAGAGCAACATCTGTTTCTGTGCTTGTGCCGAACAAACAAGGCAATTTAAAGCATACCAAGGGATAACCAAGCAGCAAATGAACATGACCCTCATTTTTTTTCCCCCTTCTTACACACACGAGATGCTAAACTTCACTGTGCAAGCGCTACATAAAGAAGCCAGGCTGTTGTTTGATAAGGTGTTGTCAGAGAGATTTTACATATTTTCTAGAGAGAGAAGGAGGGGGGAAGAGAGAGAGAGATATCTCTCATAGTATTGTTATTCTTAGAATCCTCCCACTTCTCTCTTCATTTCTCTTATACTAAAGCTAGCACTCAGCTTCCAATTCATTCTAGACTTTTTTTTTTTAACTGTTTCAATATACTTATAAATATTCAGTCTTTAAACCCTAATTTGCTATACTTAGTTCACATGCCTTCAAGCATTTGTCTTCCAATTTCCACTGAATAAATGCGTACTAATGAGAAATAGAGCAAGCTGCTGAGGCAAAGCTGGGTGACTTGAGCCTGGCCTGCCACCAGCTTGTGATAGGCAGGCAAATTGAGTTAAAATGAAAAGTCTTGTCAGCTGAAATACAACATGGTAGCCAAACAGCAAGCTGTCAATCATCCAGCCAAAACAAGGGACTGCAGGTAATAAAAGGTCATTGCGAATCATAAGTGCATTTGGCTTTCGTTGGCAAGTTAATTTTAATTAAACATGATCTCTATCTGTAAATGTTTTATAAAACTTATTGTGCAGTAATGGATTGTTAATTTTACACTAACACAGAGCAGGTAATAGGGTGCAATAATTATTAGAGTGTATTGTAGGAAAATAGCTATTGAGTATGCAAATATTTGGGGGGGTCATTTACCCACGGGCATCATGGTATGCCAACACAAACGATAATCTGAAACAAGTACATCTGCATCTTACTCAGAACTAAATGGTACTGCCCAGCCCATTTCAGAAAAATATATTTATTCCTTTCAATTCAACCAATGATTTTAATGCTTAGCCTTTGTGTTATGACTACACACTCTGAATTAGCTCCTTTTGGGTCCCTACCCTTTCTTGTGTACAAAACAATTTTTCAAGCTGTGCTCTTTTTGCAGGAATATCTCAGATTCAGCAATGACCTGGGGCAAGAATACTTCACCATATAAATGAATGGACTAATATTAAACAAACGAACTGACTAAACATGCCTAGCATTAAACATGCACTAAGTACATATCTGCTTTACCCTGGGCATTTCCATTATAACCAGTTTAACTGACAGACCATTCTTATGTGTCCTTTACCATATTAGAGCTCTGCTGTGAGCCATAATGTCTAATAATGTATGTTACTCTGTGCACACAAGTAAGTTTGGATTTCAGAATTGTGTTATGTAGACAGCACAAAGGGTGCCGCCCAGAAATGCCATCAGAAAAAGATAGTCAGGGCCAAAATTTGCTAATTTGATTTTGGGTTGAACATGTTTTGCATTTTGGTTTGGTTTGGTTGTTTGGTTTTGGTTTTTTTTAATGAAATAATCATGTACCTGAGCTTAGAATTTAGGAGTAAATCAGGCCGTGTTGTTCCCTAGACCCAAACAATCTGACCATAATAACAATGCTACTTCCTGAGAAAGAGTTCTTGTGCTTCTTCTCCATAGCATGAAGAATCAAAACCGTCTCTTGTTATAGTAGGCCAAAAAGAGGACGGAGAATCAGAGCACTTAAAACAGGAAAATGAGATGACAAGGTGATGAACATGCAAGCATCCCACCTGGTCTGCCTCACTCGAGAGCAGGGACACAATCCCAGTTTCCTACGCTCCAGGTTGGCACAGAAGGAATGGAAGGAGCAAAAGCTCAGTCTTGGAGGTTTGGGGTCAGTGGCCTTCCTGCAACAGGGGAGCTCTTGGTGTGCAAGCAATGCAATTTGGGACCTTCGTCCCTCCTACACATTTATTAACAAATAACAAATTTCCCCTTTCCACTGAAGCATGACTAATTCTCTTATGGTACAGATTTTTTTCTATATTATTATTTTATGGGACAGTATCCAGCCCTTTATGACTTAAGTGCCAGAAGAACTGAAATCTAGCTTCTGTTCATATCACATTATGTTTAACATGATTATAAAATTTAACAAAAGTGTTACAAGAATACTACAAAGTAGGATGTTGCACTTCCCTCTCAACACATAAATCAAATGCTACCAAGGTACTTCAAGACTGCAAGAAGCAGAGGAATGACACAGCTAATGTTTTTAAACTGTTCATACTGTTTTGCACCAGATGGTTTTAGTGAACTACATGGTTTTATTTTCCCTATCCCTACACTTTTGGGAAGCCTTTTCTCCCCCCCTTTTTTTCATGGCCATTCCCATCTCAGTCTATAAATGTAAACTAAATTATCTTTTGATCTTCTTGATGCTTGGTAACTTATTTATTGGTGTATGCTAGCTCTGATGTGAAGTAGTTTTATTCGTGTTCCTTAGAAGTCCATTAAATGCTTAGAAAAACAGAATTGTCATCCAATACCTCCTCTATTTCAAAAATATTCTCCATTGTTAGAGATAAATTTGCATCAAAAGAGCCATGACTGCAGATGTAACCAACTTAGTAGACAGACTCACAATATGTAAGATTAATATTAATATTAACGCTCTAACACAAAGGAAATGGATCAGACTCAATTTTATATTTGTACTAATCAAATCAACTTTGCATACAGATTCTTGAGACATGCCACACTGGATGACCTTGGAGAATGGCAGCTATTACAAGGATCCAAACCAGGCACTGAATGCACTATTCCACCACCATCCCTTGACACAGCTTTCTTTAAGAGTGGAGCATCAGTTCAGGTCATGAGCTACCAAGACCTATGGACACGAGCTTGTTTTGAACACAGGATTGGTTTTGGTATTTAAAAACAGACGATTATTGAACCTTTAATCTTTTAATCAGCTGTTGTCTGCCCTTGTTAACACTAACTGTGGAGACTTACAGATGTTTAAAGCTTAGGTACCTACCTGCTACACCCTCTTTCCTCCCTTGGGCTATTTTCACCATTTTTCTTGCCAGTGTCTGCACTACCAAATGAAGTGAAACCATGAGCTGATGCTCTGAAGGCCTATACAGGTCCTGATTCAAACAACTTCCAATGACCACTGGCAGGAGTCTCCTTTTGAACCCTGGATCCAGAACTGTAGTTCCCTTAAAGCTCCATCTTTTGAAAAAAGTACTGAAAACACCATTTCTCCTCTGCAAATTTTTATCGTCTTCTTTTTCATTTGGAGGCATTGCCCAACAGAAGCCTGCTTTAGAAGCCTTTTTTGTTTTGTTAAAGGGAGAAAGAAAGAAATTGCTTGCAGATAAAATACATTTGCAGTTTAAATACACAATCCCACTTTAATTTCAGAAAAGGGTCTTTCTTGGCAGTACCATACAGAAGTATTTGAAATGCGTTAACACTTCGGCAGATGCTCAGAATCAAACAACTTAATAGGCATCAACTTTTTTTCAAATAATTGCAAAGCTTCGATTTAGCCTTTTGCATACCTTGCATAGTTAATTACCTAGGCTTTAATGTTTACATGCAATGAGAGTATCTACAGCTATAAACTACATAATTTATAATTGATGTAAATGGGTGTTATTATGTCAATTAGGCAGCTGTGTCCTCCACCTTCTCAGTAAACAGAAATGAGTGATAAACCGAGTTTGCTGGGAGAGCCCCTCTTCTCTTCCTAACAGATAAAAATAAATTACCTAGGTAGACCAGGTTGTCCAATTGTTCTCTGGTGAGGTGGATGTTATATGTGGGCCCTCTCTTTTGACCTGTTGACTGCAGCAAATGGTCAATCTCGTCACGCACCGCTGCAAGAGCTTCTGGGTGCCGCAGAAGATAATACATGGCCCAGAATGTAGCTGGAATCGTGTTTCCCACAGAGGCCCACAGGAAGGCAAAATGATGTGCTGGGAGAAAATAAGTGAAAAGGAAGATTAATAGCGTTTATTACACTGATTAGATTTGCAGTGTGCTAATTAAAAGATGTTAGGACACAGACCCAGCCAAGGATCAGTGAATGCTAATGAGGACCAATAGGCTTCTGAAGTCTAATTTTCTGCTTAATGAGAATAGTTTGAAATGTAATGTCGGGGGGGGTGGGGGGAATAAGGGGAGGAAATGCAGCTCAGTTATAATCTTTCTCATTATCACCATTAAGTATCTTGTTTTACCACCTCAGCACAAAAAAAAAATCAATTATCATAGAGGGTTGTTTCAGAGTAAAACATTTTATCATTAGCCAATTAGAAAGAACATAAAAAAATTTCAAGGTCGCCATTTTGCCTTTTTATTTCAAAGGTCTATAGTAAATTATTTTATTTTAGACAAGCAATCATTCATAAGTTTCCTACCTGCTTTGTCATAATCTCCAAGCAGCTCATATTTCTCAAATATATCTTGTCTGGCTTGGACCACTTTTGACCCTCCCAGCCATTTTGTCATGTTCTGAAGTAAAAAATGATGTATAAGCTCCTTCCGAACCTTCTTGGTAGCTCCTAGCAACTCAATTGGTATGTTTGCAGCTAAATAGGGAAAGCTGGCATCAAACTTGATAAATTTGTCTCTGATTTCACTAATAACTTTGTGGCCATCTGCAGCAGGAACTCTTCCATATAGTGTTACAAAACTGGCTTCAAACATTACAGAGCAGCAGAATTTGTACATTTTTTCTGTTTCCCAATCTGTTGCTTGTGAGCATTTCCATTCAAATATATCCTGGAGATTTTTCATCATGTGGTCAGAAATGGTATCCAAAGGCTTGCCTTGTAGATACTGGTAGATTCTGTGCAGGTTTTCCTTGAGTTCAGGGAATTTTCCTTTTGACAAGGCTGGGTAGTCAAAAGTTTTGGATGCCATTTTATTAGCGAATTCATGAAACTCAAGTTGCTTGCTATTTCGGATGACATAGACATATTGAAATGGGTCCATGATAAAGGTAATATATCTACCTGAATAGAAGAACAGGAAATAATTAGAGACACGTGCACTTTTATAATCTGATGACGCTTCCAGAAGCAATAACTGAAAATAAGCCAAAGTCTGTGAAAAAATAATGCAGAAAGAAAACAACCCAAAGAGAGGAATAAATCTGCAAAGAAAAAAAGAAGAAAAAATGATGAAACAAATATTATTTAGATTTGCTTTGTGAGGATGCAGACTCCATCAGTGTACGCTTTGCAGGCTCTTCTAAAATACGTGTGAAGCCATTTCCATGTAGATGGATCTACTGTTTGTGCCAACAGTTGTGTGTGATCCCCTCAATTGTGGTGCTCTGAAATAAATCGTTTACTACTCTGGTCTAATTCATGAAAATACAGTGTGGAGTCATAGCAACATTTGGAAACTGTAGGTTTTCACCAGCAGAAAGTGAGAAACACACACATTTCACCTGCACAGAGGAAAGTGAATGACGGGCTGAAGTGGAAAACATGCCACCTAGGCAGTTTTTTCCCAAGTAGATGACACAGGAACTCAAAGCCTGTCAGTTACAGTTTTAACTGCATCCTGCAATCCCCCAACAGTTAAAGCTCCTCTCACATCTGGCTCTTTTCCCCCGAAGCTTTGCTAACTCTTTGTTAAGAATGTGCTCAGTACCCATAACATGACTATCTTTGTTCATGAATGTGAAGTCACAGCCTACAATGCAGCAGGCGCCATTTTTAGCATGGGCTCCACTTTGGGATACACTCTGTCCCAGGGCTAATATCCATTGTGTCAGAGTGCACCACCCAACTTCCTGCCCTTCCCAGGGTCCTCAATGAGGTGACACAGTGATACCTTCAGCTCCTTGTACAGAGGGATAGGATTGCATCAAGTGAAATGCTTTTTCAGTTTGTTCCTGCCAGAGAAGTCCTGCACTTTCTCCCTAAACTTCAAGTCAACTGCTGAAGAAAAGCATTTGGAGGAACTACTATGAATCAAAATGCTAACACTGCTAAAGCTCAATTAAGTCTTAGCTCTTTATAGATGGTTCTAAATTTAGCATTCCTGATTCTTACCTTGAATGAGAGGTGCATTAGGGAAAAAGGGTACCTATTAAAATGTACACTTTCTCTTTGAAATATCCCAGTCACAAACTCAGGGAAAGAGCAAAGCTTCCAGCATTTACAGTCTAATTCTGTCTCCCTAAAGGGACAAATCTCCTTTGATTTTAATGGGAACACTACATGCTTAACTGCGGACCAAATTTGGCTCTGTGACAGATGTCCAGAGATAAAGTAGTCACTACCACTAAAAATGTCAAGTATCCATGGTTACCATATAGTGATATCTGAATTATCATAGTTATTTCATATTCTGATTTATATACACACACAGTGCTCTATGGTATCTGGCTACACTCTGGACTTCCTCTACAATTACCAGCTGCCATAATTCCCCTCCCAATTACATCAAATGCAATCCCAGTGAACTAGTAAGGAAATGTAAAGGATATATCAAGACAGAATTTGAACCCCTTTTCTTTTTTGTCAACAGTGTGTCAAGGTTTTTACGATACTCATGGATTTTGTTTTACTGTAACATAATCAACCATAGCCATAAATTTAATTTTAAAGAATACTGAGAAACCAGCATGAAAGATCATGAATTCTCAGTCCTCTTTTTTGACCTCGTCTGATTACAGAGGTTAACAGGAATTTTTAGTCATGTCCCCTGCAGTATCTTTGTTTAGAGTCCTAGAATTACTCTCTCTTTCCAGCTTTCACCTACTTTCACGCTCTTTATTGAGGCTACCATCTTTGTGATCAAAGCTTGGAAAGAATGCCCATTGGAGCAATTTTTAATAAATAGATTTGGAGTGTTATTAACCCTAAAGATGAAAGCTGGCTTCTTAACTTTGCATTTACAGGGTAAACAATTTAAGTTAAGATTTTTAATTAATATTAATTTAAACCATCTGTCCACCATCTGCTTATTTCTGATGCAAAATATGAGTTTCTTTGTGATCTTTAATCAGACACTTAGCAAACGCACATTAATTCTTATCATTTTTAAGTAAGAAAATGATTTTCAGCAAATGAGTTTTCAGACAAACAAACTATTTTAGTAATAATTTTAAATCAAAACTCACTCACAACTACCACATACTTTGAAAAAAAAAGTCCCTGAGAAAAAGAATATTACAGATCCTGTTTTTATTATTCTCATCAGGTTCCTGGTAGCAAAAAGTAAGTATGTACCAAAATATAATTCATTTTGTAGAATCATTTCAGGCTCCAGACCACATCACTGCAAGTCAACAACATATATAAGCACATAAACCAAAATATTTCTTGTTGCTGCATTTAGTAAGGGTCTAGATAATCAGAAAAATGGAACCCCCCTATAACAAAGGCAGCTTGTTTATGTATGCCATCGAAAATCTAATTTTAGATCTCTTAATTAGAAAAGTACTAAAACCCAGGGCTATTAATGGCAGTTAGAAAGTTGTGAGAGTGGGTATGGGAACCTTTGACAATTACAGTAATCCTTGCACACAGATGCACTTACACTGCTTACCCCGGTCTCCTCCATACAGGAACAGATTGCTAATTACAAAACCATGCCCCAACACCTCCTCTACACCCTGAACGGCAAACATCCGAAGTGGAACAAACTTTCTCACCTCAAGTTATGATTTTAAATTTTTTACGTGCCAATATGGTCCTTAATTTTGCTTTTAAAATCCTGTCCTTGTCCCCAGTGAGGTTTGTTCCCACTGATTGTCCCTGATGGTGTCAGAGACCAATAAATTAAAACCTTTCATAAAGTTTTCAGTTACTGTTTGGTATTTTAAAATGCAGCTTCCCCCTCTACTCGCATGTCTTTCCACTGCAGCTACTGCTAAGAGAATCTTTGGAAAGTAATCTTTTCTGAAATCAATCCAAAGTCTTCATACTCATGAGTTTCCACCAGAGTACTAGAAAAGGTAATGTCGAATCAGCCAAGAGTGGAGGCATACTACAATCTCCACAAATCAGAGAGCCTTAAATATTGAAGGAATTTATTTGGAAACCACTACAGACTAAGCTTTCCTTGTTAGTTTGTAAAAAAACCCTCCAACACCAAAAACTAAGTAGACATGTACATATAGAAATGTCACACTCCAATTCACAACAGTTTAAGTCACTGAACTATTTTATTTAATACAGTAAAAACAAGTCAAAACAAGAGATGTATCCCTGTTTCTGCAAAAAGCCCTCTGATTTTTTTTAATGGCTACAGAGAATTCATACTTCACTATCCAATTCTTCAGTCTGCTTTAAACCCATGCTGCAAATAGCGTGGTTATCTCCATTTAGTTTCTTCCTAGAAATAGAAGATTGATGTGGAAAATATGAAAATTGTCAACTTTGGTAAATCTGAGCACAGAAGCCAGTATTTGTATGATAGTTAAGAAATTACTCTAATAATGCATTCTGGAGCATTTTAATGCTAATGATGAAAGACAAGCATTTCAGATGGCATCTAATGATGGATGTTATTTCAGTAATGCTTGCAGCAGGTTTCAGCCTGGTAAGGAGTTAATGTAAATTACCTTTTGCCTATGAGAGAAAAATGTGATATGTTACTGTAGGTGTATCATGCTTTAAAGAAAAGAATGACTTAGCAGCAGTATTTGAAAAGGCAAATGTGCTTAGTAAAAACCACTAGGATTATTTTATTAAAAGGTGAGTTAGTCTCAGGGAAAATGTTTCAGGGTTCATTATCACTCCTATCAGCTTCAGAGGAAAAGGACATAAAGTTTAATCCCAAGAAACAACAGCAAAACTGTTTCAAGCTCTTTAATTTCTTACCTAGCTGTCTGCCTATGCTGCTGACCCTTAACAAGCAGAGAGGCTTGGGAAGTACGATCATCTCAACGCAGTCTCTCTCCCTCGTTCCACTCCTTATTCTTTTCTTTTCTGATCTTTTTTTTTTCCCCCAAGACTATTGCATTTACGTAATCGTCCTCTTATTAGGGAGATTCTGCTGAACTGCTGACAATGATGTACAGTGGTGCTGCGCTGGCATGACGTTTGGGGAAAACGATTCTGCTGCACCACCACACAAAACCAATTAGAGAACTATTTTCTGCGACAGGTCAGGAATTTACATTGTTTCTCATAGAAAGATGTGCTTTTTAATTTCTTTATTAAGATGACATCCATGTCCCTTGCGACTTTTAGGGATGACAATCATTTGCTCATCACATGGGAAAGTACAATCAGCAAAATCGCATTACCAGTACGGGGCAATGCCAGAAACTCCGAGCATCGTTCCGCATTTTCCAAATGAGCTAGTTTGAGAACCAATAATTAGAACAATATATATTGATAGAATTTTTTGACAGGACCTTTAGACATCCACCAGGGGGGTAAAGTAATGATAGTCCACTTGCAGCTGGCTACGCTATGTTTGCCGAGCGCAGAAACATCATCTTTGTCAAATCAGTAAGACATACAGAAATGCTGCGTGCCTTCAGATCAGGACACGATGGGAGATACTAACTAGCTTTGGTTTCTTCCTTGACTTGAGGATGACAAACTATTTCTCTTCAGTGAAGTCCTGACGGTCAGCAATTTTGTACCAAAAAAAGAGAACTTAAAGTGGTGTCTCTGTTGTGATCAATTCACAAAATCAAACATTTCCCTGCACGAGACTGAAATAATATCCAAAACTAACTCCATTTACCTCAGTTTTATCGAGGGAGGCTTGGCCCAAAACACTTAAACATGAGATTATCTGAGATGGAATTTGGTTTATCATGGAAACAGAAATTTCTGAAACTAGATTACACTCATAGATTGCTTAAACACAAACTTCTAAACACAGTCTTACATAAAATAATAAAGAGACAAAAGAAATAAATACTTGATCAAACACTTTTAAGATTCTGAAGTATGACTGTATTTGGTTTTATGAATACACTAAGATAATATCTGAATTATAGTTATTAATTGGTATTTGTAAGAAGCCAAAATCTATTACAGTGTGAATTCAAATTAACAATAAAAAAGATTGTATTTCAACAAGAACTGGTTTTGTACTGTGCCAAACTCACTTTCAAGTTGCAAAAAATCGGATCATACAAGTTTCCAAAAAAAAAAAATCCTGAATGAAATTTTGAAAAATCACGTATTTAATACAGGAAAAATTATCTTCAAAAGGAACAAAAGGAACTATTTTTTAAAAGGAAGAAAAATTTTATTAATTAAACACATGGATTGCAATTAAATTAATTGGCTTTAAAAAAAAAATAATTCCAAAATATTGCCTATATGTAACTATAAAGCTAATGCTACTGTCTTAGAATTAAAAAGCAAATTTTATACTTTACACTTAACATGTTTTTTTCAAACTCCCTTAAACTACAGGAATAACTAAAAATTATATAGACTAAAGTTGATCATTTGAACAAGGATATCAGCATGTAAAGGTGAAGAAGATGGTTATAACCATCTATACTAATAAGAGCTTGCCTTTCTGAACACAAGAAAATACCAGATTTTATACCGACTTGAGTAAAAAATAGATCTCTATAGATAGATGTAAATTTATATATTTAACTTTCATTCAGGATTTTAGTTTTATTCTGTGTTTTTCTTCCACAGCTAAGTGTCTATGTGAAATCACTCAAATGTTTGTATTCAATCTAGCTTAGTAATACAGTTATAAATACAGAAAGCAGCAAGGTTTTATCATACTTTATTACATTATTTTCAGCAAGCATGATCAGAGTAAGAGGCTGGCAACGGAAAGTTTCTATGTTCCAGTCCCGATTGTATCACTGAGTCAATGTGTCATTCATTCCCTTGTGTTCCTGTCAACCAGTTGTAAAATGTGTGAGAACAAATTCTGCACTTTTTTTCTTAAGTGTTTTCTAAATTTAATCCGATATTTTTCTGTGCAATGTCAAGATGATGTTAGTTCTCTCTTCTATAGGAAAAAACCCACCAATACACAATTAATGTGCTGGCAAAATCTATGTTCATACAGTACATACCTACAAAATCTGTCAAAATACATATATACTTGGAGATGTAAATAAATCCACACATTGATAGTGATATTTTAAAGACAATTATCATGCCCACAATATATGTAAATTTGAGGGATTTTTATGGGTCTGTGCTAGAGAAAAATGTTTTGGGTTAAGGAAGATTCTAAACTAAATATTTGGATTAGTATTTAACCTCACTGACAGAAAAAATCAAGATACAAACTAAAATATTTCTCACCAGCAATATGTACAGTGAAAATATCTCCAAATTTCTTTTGTTGATCCAGTAAGAATTTGTAAGCATCTTTTCTAAAAATCAAAGCTTTCCCAAGGTAAGGAATCCAGCCATTTATTAGTGGGGGCTCTCCAGTCTTTCTGTTAAAAACAGAAAAAAAAAATAAACAGGAGTTAACTTTGGCATGAGAGCAACTTATTTTTATATATACATATATTACACTTAAACCCATCATTTACATCTATAATTCCTGCAATGTATAATATGTTGTACAGAAAGTTCTTCAGATATGATGGCAGGTTAAATCTAATCACACCTCTGAGCACTGAAGGCTCCATGTGGTGATTAGGAAAAATAAGTGAGAGAAATTGAGACGCATTTAACTACAGGTCGTCCAGTTATTACCATCAAGTTATGAACACAGAAAAATGACATTCAGTAGAAAAGCTCCCAGCAAAGAGTAATCTCATTTTCAATATTTGGTGTGTCAGAGGAAGATGTATTGGAAGGCAATTATGACAGATTTAGGTAAATAGGACGCCGACATACCACACAAGTATCCTTACAGATAACGTTTTAGTAATTTCAGCTTACCAGCAAAGAGAACAGCCATTCTACATTCTAACTAAATATCTTTAAAATATAGGGTAATAATACAGGCTGAACATTAACTGTTATAAATCTTAGTCTCTTTATATTTATAGTCTAAGATAGAAATGCGTCTGGACAGTTTAAGAAGAAATTCCAGGTACTGATGTTTGCATCCCAGTTTAAAAAAGCAGCCATGGTGGTTAGTTATCTTTACAGAATAGTATAAAACACCTTTTAAGACTCTACTAAGTTACATTTTTCTTTAAAATGAAAAAAGGGTTCCCACACTGTCCTGCTCCTGACTGCAAGTAAATATCTTTCCTTCATGCTGGTCTTTAGTTGCTTGAATCTGATTTACAACAAAGAAACATAAAGCGTGCTTGTTCTGGAAGGGATTAAAACAAATATTCACGAACAACTCTGCTGCTACATCCCATCTGTGAAGGTGACTTATACTACATGCAGAACAACTCATTCTGATTAAACACAAGATATTTACTAGCTTGGATCTAATCAAAGATCAAGGGATCACAAGCTTTACTACTATCATACACAGCATGGATTTTTATGTAGCTGGATTAACCCTATCATAGTCACATTCCCCCTTGAACTGCTGTAACACAAACAAAAAAAACCAAAAAAAACCCCAAAACCATAGTATGTTGTATTTACTTTTAATTTTACTTTCATAATTAAAACTTTTTGAGCAGGAAAATACAAGCCAGAGATTTGCTCACTTACTTAAAAAAAGTTATAAATTTAATTCACAGATAAACAGATGTGGCTAAACCAAGCTGCATATTTTGATCTCTTTTTGTTTAACTGATTACTAACTTTAAAATTAAGTTTCCAAGAACATCCGTTTGTCCTCTGATAAAACAGTACATCTTCTTGTCCAACAGACTCACAGCCAACAGTTTGCTGTGCCTTTTTCATTTCCTTAAGTTTTGTGGCTTTGGCATTTTGTTTGCTTGTTTTGTAATGTGTTTTTTATATTGAGAAGGTGGAGCCCCTCTTTCTTCAATACCTCCCAGAAACCACAGCATTAATCATCCTTTAATGGTCAAATAACAACATTATTTACTCAAGTGGCCGAGAAAACTTAGTAATGTTTAATTGTGTATTAAGTGAATAAAAGCAAAGAACTAATCTGAGATTACACGAGAGGGATCACTAGCCCTGGAAGCATAGCAGCCAACTTGATACCCTCAATTATCCCTTCCAAGCCCGTAAAGAATCTGGATGATTTACCCATTTTTTCCCCCTCCAGACTATTCAGTCCCAAGAGTGTCCGCCTTTCACTTCCCTGGCTGGACACTATGTCCTGTAAGTAGCATCCTGACAAATATTTAGATAGGCTTTTTGTCATCTTCTAATTGAATGCATCTAATTTCACCCTCCATGTTCTGTCATTCGGTCAGAAGCTGTATTCTTCACAAGCTCTCCGCCGGGTAAAAGGAAGGCAGCTCAGAAATCCAGGGGAAAATTAACTTAATGCTCCAAGTCTTCGGGATCACATCAGGGAGACATTCTGCTATTGCAAAGACGTGAGGGTCATCGTTCACTTCAGACATGTTTAGCTCAGCAGCAATAAGCTTAACACTGTTAAACACTGTGTCAAGGCTATGTGGCTTTCAGAGGAAAATATAACACCAGTTCAACTTACGACCCACAGCAGACTGATAACAGAAATGTGTCTTCATTTCTAGCTTTCTGTCTCTTTGGAAGATGGAGGTCATCTCCACGACTTATCGATGTCTGCTAACACACGGTGAAGAAAAGAGCGGCCGCCTGTATTTTAGTGCCTCCCCAAATCCAGGGCTTCTCTGCACAGGCTTTCCAGCAGAGCAGCCCAGCCAACCCCATTTCCTGAGGGATGATCACCTGCATCCCGGCTATCTCCAGAAGTCTTCATCAACTTCGGATGCTAAACGAAGCCATTAACAAAGCCCACAGAAACTTTTAGTGCTTAATTAATTTGCTCATGAACTTTAACTCTGGACTCACACTTCACAGAAGTTGTAAAATTTGATAATTAGGGAAAATATTACAAGCATTAAAGTTATATTTTACTCATGACAAATATATTGTTGTACCAAATGCAAAATATAGCTAAGAAATATAAAAGAACTATTAAGAGCTATGAAGTGTTTTTATGGAAATTTAAGACTGCAACTTTTTTAATTTAAGCATTCAGAATGTCTTACAGATTACATTTTATTCAGGTCAAGTATAACTGCTTAAATTCTAATTTGCTTAACAAACCTCACGATATTCCCGGGTCTTTTCACTCCACATATTGGGCTGGTTTTGCTTATATAGAGGAGTATCTTTACTTGTCTAAGGAGCCTCTGTGAAGTCGGTAAGACTTAACGAACAAATTTCTCACATATGTGAGTGAATTTTACAAATAAAGCATCAGCAACATGTCCAATGCAATCTATAAGTAGACAGATCAGTTACAAAGTGGAGGGAGAGCAACACAGTTGTATCATCCATCATTGTTAAATGGATAATTTCAAATGGCATTATGCAAAAATCAGCTGGCTACAAATACAGCCCATAAATAGAACGAACAGATTTTGATAACTGTAATTTTTCTTTGCTTTCACAGAGAAAAGATACTTTCTTGTTAGCAAGTAATAGAGTTGCAATGTCTACTTCACCAAAAAAAAGCAAAGTTTTGGAGTTTGTTTACAGTTTCCTTAAGGGAATATTTTTCAGCTCACCTAAAACACAGAAGGCACTGACCCAGGTGTGATTATTTAGCTACTGAGGTAAGGCAATACTAAAAAATGTGGATTATGTATCTGTGTCTCACTTATGCTAAGCAGCAGTGATGCAATAAAGCAGGAGAAAAATGGGCTTTTACATATATATTTTGGAAAATATTGAATTAAAAATAATTATAAAATTCAATGTCTCTAAACATTATGTTTTTGTGTTTTTAAGTAGTGAAAGAATTATTTTGGAAACCTCAGTAAGGTCATTCGTAAAGGTCTCTGAACATTACTTTTTTTTTTCTTTCTTTTTTTTTTTTTTAATAAAGAAAATACCCTAAAGATTCACAAGCAAACAGACTTTGCCAACATGATTTCTCATAGAAATATTATTGCTTTATAAAAGCACACAAGACTATTCTTTTCTTGGTTACACCATTTCAACATCACTGCAGTGTGAGGCATTAGACCCGTGTAAATGAGAGGAGAATCTTTCTCATCTCACTGGTTATTTGTATTCCAAAGGAGCAGATGCCTTTCAAATTATGCAAAAACCCACAGCGCATCTTGTACTATAGCAGATGAACAGGTTAATTTTTCTTTTTGCACATAATAAATCATAAGTGCTTTAACACCCATAGTCGCATTTCATGAACATAAACCTTCTGTTTAATAATGTCTGTTTACAACTAGAATCAGACATACAGTAATCTCTTGCCTGGGATAAACATTAATCCAGATCTGTCTAGAAAAATTATACAATTCATTACCATAAGTAATCTCTATTGTGCCCCATGCTTAACCTTCATCTTTTTTTCCTGTCCTATAATCTTGCAAATCCACTGGTGGTGTATGATTGGCATCTGGTGTTAAAGCAGCCTTCACTGCACACAGCACAGCTGAAGAAGCCCGACACGAACACGTCACTCTGCAGGGTAACGCCGGTTCAGCTGACCGCTTTACACAACAACTTTCACCAAAGGCAGAAAAAAACCCCACAAGCCGGGGAGAAAAAGGTCTGACAATATCTTCTGCTGCAGAGGGAATAATTTTCACTTTCCAAACCATGGTTACCATCCCCAAAATCTAAAGGTAGTGCTCTGATTTTTCTATAGTATCTTCGGACAAACCATCATAATACCATGTCCAAGCTGGAACACACCATGTCAGGGGACTTTAAGGAATGGAAATGGATTGGTACAGAGTAGAACAAAAGCTATTATGAACATGTCAAAGCAGTTAGAGATTATTCACAGGCTCGATCACAATATTTAAGCAACAAGACATGACAGACAGTGTCTTTCCAGGGGCTTATGAACACTCTAACTGTGAGGAAAAGAATGAGGCCAAAGGCTTCAACCCCAAGAAAGGTAATCCCCAGAAATGTGGTGTCTGGAATGTCTTCTTGTATTATGAGAGAGAGAACACAGGAAACTTAGGACAGGAGGAAGCTAGTGAGTCTATATTTCTATTTTTTTTTTAATTTAGCAGTTACAGTTTTGCCCTAGACCTACTTATAGGTGTTCTACTTCTATGAGGATAGAAAATAAAATTTTCTTTCAAATATTTGGCCACAATGCAATTTTCGACATTTATAAAATTACGCGTCTTAAATCCTCACCCAACTCGGATTGCCTGGAACTCTAAATCTTCCAGGTTGAATACATGCAGTATGAAAAAGCATTCCCTGCAGAACAAGCCAGATGAGAGTTTTAGCAATATACAAGGATCTTTTACCCTTGAATTCTCAGCTTACATACTTCCTGTGGAGGTAAAGACATTGCTCCTATCTGATTGCTGTTTTCAGGTTTGTGGGGAGTAAATGGATG